GAGAGAGAGAGAGAGAGAGAGAGAGAGACAAAATTGCCAGAGGTTAGTCTACACAATGAATTCGGGAAAATGGCTCGAGAAGAGACGATATGGACTTATCTTTGTTCACTTGGCAACGACAAAAAGCAGGAAGAAGAAATGAAAATGCCATATTTATACTTTTATCTTACCCCCTCCCTTCTGCCTGTCTCCCTTCCTAACCCTGCCCCCGTGAAATTGATGTCATAATAGCCTGCACAATGTACATGATAGAACAATTAAGAAGCTACAACAATGTACAGTAAGCCATACTCGTGGCATCATGGTAAAACCAGGTTCTAGTCAAAATAATGAAATCGGAGAAATCGAGATTTTTCTGACCGTTGGCTTTTTTCGGGGGGTGGGGGTCGATTTATTTTTTCTCAGCACCTTTGCTGTCCGTTTACAAACACATTGTGGTGTGGATTTTACTGGGAGAAAAAACGTTGATTAAAGGCGCACAAAAAGTGTAACTTTTCGGTTTCCAATCGCACTCAAGCTTTGGAAGTCACCAAGATTTGGCGGCTATTTTCTCGCTAAATTTACGGCCTCATTCAATAGCTAGTACAAGTACCTCGAGACCTGGGTATTATTTTCAACAAACGCAAGGCAAATAAACAAGCTTTATGATTGTACTAATTACTCCATATGCCCAAAATTGACAAGCGCCTGATTCCACCGCGTTGTGACATATATAATATGCATGTAAATACAAACGACTTATAAACACGTCTTTGTTGGTCACCACTGTTCCCAGAATTCGGGGGCACGGTTCGAAGGTGGTGGTTAAAAAGATGCAGGAGTTGTTTGTTTACATTAGTCAGGGTTATTGTGTCTTGCTCAAGATCATGTTCCAGCACATCGTTCAACCATTTCTCTTACATTCCTTTTTCTTTCTGGAGCGCTTGAGCTAAACAGAAACAAGAAAAGCATAATGATGATAATAATAATGATAATAAAAGTAATAATAATAATAAAAGTAATAATAATAATAATGCTCACCCCCATGTGGCTTTAGGCGCTTCACAACAAAAATAAGATTAAAATTAGCCTTTCGTGCGTACAGGCCCATTATTCGTTCAACGATCCTTCTTAAAGCATATTAAACACCCATAATCTGTCAAAGAACGCATACACGCAATGACAATCCTGTGGCTACTGATAACACCTATTACCTAAAAAAAGATTCAAACTTGTTTTTAAAAATAAGATTTAAATAATGACTGTGTTTTTTAGACCAGACTTAATTGCACTCAAAATAGGTGCCTCTCTTAAATGCTGTGGGAGTGAGAGAATTCTACGCCGAGGGAGCAGCTGTTAAAACACCCTACTTCCATATTATTATTTTTTTAAAATTTCACAAGGCAGTCTTAAGCCGTCTTTTAGCAATAAGTGAACTGTAATTTTTGAAACTGAATATACACCTGTAGTAAATTAGAAAGATATTATCCCATTACCGGGTAATGCAACTTTGTAATAAATACGGGCCATAACAGAGCGCCGTTTTATAGCGGCAAAAGCAATGGTCTCGAATGTTCTCTTACACGAACAAGAACGTATCAATTATAATAACAACAATAACAGCAATATCGACACCACCACCACCAACAGCAACAGCAACAAAAACGTATCAGAAATGACTACATCAACATATTCATACCACATTTCCTTGTAAACAAAAATGTTTGGTCAATAATATTGCAGTACCGGATATTCATTTGATATTTTTTGTAGCGAAAAGCCAGTCTGGAGGAGCAGTTTTCGGACTGCTGTAGCCAAGACGTATCATGTTTGCCGTGACAAGAGTGAAACTTATGTACAATGTGTATTTGTGCTCTTGATTACGTGTGTGTGTGTGTGTGTGCGTGCGTGCGTGTGTGTGTGTGTGTGTGTGTGTGTGTGTGTGTGTGTGTGT